AGAGAGAGAGAGAGAGAGAGAGAGAAATAAGGATTGCAAGCTGGAGGGATGGAGACAGTCCTTTCCAACTGGTACAGGGACACTACTGTGGGGTTGCTCCAGGATACGCCACTTACTTCTCTCCTAGCCTTGATTAAGACAACTATTACACACACAGTGACCAAGCATGCAAGGCCACAACCTCCTTTATACCTGTGCTGAGAGGCATCAAAGGTATAGCCTATAAATAGGCAGACTGTTCCCACCCACCATTAGCTCAAAAGGCCCCTCATTTTTGGGCCCCTGCATTCTAGCAGAAGAGTCCCATTTTACAACTTACCAACCTATCCTCAGGGTCCTTCAGGTCCCTAGGTCTGAGTCTCTGGCCTGAGGTTCTTATCCCAAGGACCAGAACTTAGCAGGGAGCTCCTGACCCAAACCAGGGTTCCATGTGTGACAGGGGACAGAGCTGGGGGTACAAAGAGGGGAGCTGCCCCAGCCCTTAGGGTGATCTAGGGTCCTAAGTAACGTGATCTATAACCTGAGACCAGACACCCTGGTACTCTAGCTCCCTGAAACTGGGCCCAGCTGTCTTTTCAGCAGTCAGAGCATGGGGGAGGAGCAGGAGGAGGAGGAACAACTTCTAGAGGAACATGCCTCTCTAGTGGCTATTGTGTAGTGGCCTTGAGGAGTATAAATAGCTTGGGCAGTTTGTGCTTCAAAGTTGGCTCCTTGATAGTGTGGAGCCCAGGCCTCTCTGCTGGTTCTTCTTTCTCAAGGTTGCAAGCACAATTCTGGCAGGTTTGGGAAGTGGGCAAGTCTCCATGTCCTGACTGTGTGTATGTATATGGTGGGTTGTACTGCAGATGTAGAATGGGACCCTGAAGAAGTGCTGGGGTGGGGTGGGGTCCAGGCAACCTGAGCCATGGAAGAAACCATACTAGCTGCTGCATGCTTGTGTAATCAACTCACCTCCTTAGTCCATTTAGTAGTCTCTAGTAATCTGATCTGTGCCTTGCTTTTAGCCCCCAGTGCTTGCTTAACCTCCATTGCTTCTAGAGCCTTCTGGCTGACCAGCCCCTTTCAAGTTGAAGGGTCTTTGTGTATACTACTCACGTTACCCAAAATTCTTTCCCCCCAACTCTGCTTCTGGCTGATATTCCGCACTTGATAAGGCCTCAGCAAAAATATCACCTCCTAGGAGACTTCTCTCACTTCTATCTAAAGCAGTCCTCTTCTCCCTCATATCAGTTTCCTATTTTTCATTCACAGCATTTACCATAATTTGTATTTGAATATGCATTTATTTTTTTACTTCAAGGACTAGTGTCTCTGTGGACACTGCTGAGTCTATGTGCCAGCAGTCAGGATATACAACAGGCACTCCATAAATACATGCTATAGAAGGATCTTCCTCACTGGCTCACTCTGTTGAGGGAGGGACCTAATGTGTATTATTCCCCTCCCATGGCCTTAGAAGGTTAAAGGGTAGAGACAAGGTGGAGGTTCAATGCTCTCTGGCCTGGAATGGCCCAGAGGCAGCTTGGGATTAGGCTCAAAGCTGCTAAGCAGGTCCAGCCCCTGTGGAACTTCTCAGGGATTAGATCAAGTGGGCAAAGGTGGCTCTGAGAGGGGCCGGGGCCTCAACATGCTCCTGTGCACAGGTGGGGATTGTAGCTGTTCTGGAAGCACATTCACCTCATCCAATGCACAGGGACCCAGATTCACATAGGCTGCAGACAGCTGCACATAGTGGTCCCCAAGCAGTGAGGCCACTACCTGTTCTACTTCCACCACTAGTGCTCCAAAGGTAGGTCGTGCTGCCGGGTCCACCTCCCAGCATTGTTGCATTACTTGATACCTGTAAGAGAAGGGTAATGTCAAAGGCAGGGTCACCCCTACCCAGGGAAAATGCACAGCCCACCTGCAGTTAAACCCTGTCAGGCCAGAGAAAAGGACATGTGACAGGGCCTACTGTCCTTGCCCAGTCAGGGGCAGTTCTTTTCATCACTATGATTACTGCTGCAGTCCTGCCTTCCCATCCTGGCAAAGGGTCACCCTGTTTCAGAGGTTAAGAGCTTTGGTGCCTGTAGACCAGGATATATGATCTTAGGCAATTTAGCAAGGCCTTTCTATAACTCTGAGTTCTCCTCTGTTCACAGAGAAGTAGGGGCACAGGGCAAGAGTGCCTGTGAAATGCTTAGCTAGGGCCACCTCACAAATTCTCATGATTATCTTCAGATGCATTGATTGACTGACTATCTGATTGCAAGTAATGAGGATTGAGGATTGAACCCAGAGTGCTCTACCACTAAGCAACACCATGAGCCCTATTTATTTTACTTTTTATTTTGGGGGGTACCAGGGATTGAACCCAGGGGCATTTGACAACTGAGCCATATCCCCATCCCTATTTTCTATTTGATTTAGAGACAGGATCTCACTGAGTTGCTTAATGCCTTGCTTTTGCTGAGGCTGGCTTTGAACTCAAGATCCTCCTGCCTCAGCCTCCTGAACTGCTGTGATTACAAGCATAGACCACCATACTTGGCCAGCCCTTTTTATTTTTGAGACAGGCTCTCACTAAATTGTAGAGGCTGGCCTCAAACTTGCAATCCTCATTCCTCAGCCTCCCAAGTCACTGGGATTACAGACATGTGCCACTGTGCCTGGCCCCAGCCTTTTTGTAGTTTTTGAGACAGGTTCTTGCTAAATTGCCTAGATTGGCCTTGAACTTGCAATCCTCTTGCCTCAGCCTGCCAAATTGCTGGGGTTACAGTATGAGCCATAGTGCCTGGCTCCCCAGATCATTTCTGAGAAACAGTCTTGCTAATTTGACCAGATTGGCCTCAAATTTGTCATCCTCTGGTCTCAGCCTGTTGAATAGCTGCAATTACAGGCATGTGCCATTGTGACTGGCTTTCACAAATCTTCTAGGAAGGAAGTAAAATGGGGATTAAAAGTCCTGAAAGAGGGCTGGGGATATAGCTCAGTTGGTAGAGTGCTTGCCTTGCATGCACAAGGCCCTGGGTTCAATCCCCCAAGCACTGCAGGGAAAAAAAAAAAAAAAGTCCTGAAAGAGGAGTATTTGGGACAGCAACATTATTTGGGCACCATTGTTCTGCAGTAAGGGTTTACCTGATGGGTTAGTCTCAGAGCATGCCTCATCATTTGGGGGATGTCATCCTTGCCTTAAATGGTAGTCTAAGTGCCCTACACGTAGCATCTCATGTATGTCTCAGATTCTTTATAAGAGTGGTACTGTTGGGACTGGGGTTGTGGCTCAGTGGCAGAGAACTTGCCTAGCATGAGTGAGGCACTGGGTTCAATTCTCAGCACCATATACAAATATATATATATATACACAAATATATATATTTATAAATATATATATATATATACCTTTAAGAATGGTACTGTCATCATCCCCACGTCACAGATGAGTAAATTGAGGCCCAGTGAGGAAAAAGGGCTTGCCTTAGTGTAGAAGACACTGTGGTGTGCCACCCAGCTCCCCTTCATTCTTCCAGAGGCTGGAAGTGCTATCTGCAGATGACTCTTGGCTTACGCCCTCCCTAGGAACTGATCTAAACAGAAAAGAAATGCCTCTCCCAAGCTCACACCCCCTCATCAGGCAACCTGTGACCAGTACTAATTAATGCCTTGTACAAAGATCTGGCCCCTTGGTTTCAATTTCGGAAAATTCTGAAGGGCCATTCCAGCTCAAGCAGTCCCATGGATGGGTTGCATGCAATCTCTCCTGTGTCTGTCCAGTTCTGCTTCCCTCACTGCAACCTATCAAAGAAAACTTGTAGAGAAATTTCTACCTGAGTGTGTTCAGGCAAGCCACCCCAGATGCAAATAGGCACTAGTGAGATAATTTCCCTTACTTCAAACCAAATGCCTTAGTGCATTGGATAATAAAGATCAAGCCCAGTGAGGCATGGTGACACCTGCCTGTAATCCCAGCAACTCAGGAGGCTGAGACAGGAAGATCACAAATCCAAAGCCAGCCTCAATAACTTAGTGAGGCCCTAAGCAACTCAGCTAGCTTAAAATAAAGAATAAAAAGTGCTGGGGATGTGGCCCAGTGGTTAAGCACCCCTGGGTCCAACCTCCCAGCCCCTAGCATCAAAAAAAAAAAAAAAAAAGTCAAGCTCAAGAACTGTGAGGAAGGGCTACTCACACCCTTTCTGGAGCCTGGAACAGGATTCGTCAATGCCTTTCACCTGGGGTCTGGTTCTTCCTGTTCTAACCACATAGACCTGAACATAGCTGAGACATGCCTGTTGCTTAGGGAGCCAAACCTACCCTGTAGGCACTGATGACAACACAGCTGCTGCCATCCCTCTGGGAATGAGGAATCTGAAACTAGATTGAGTGAAAGAAAAAAAAAAAAACCCTAATCTGGAGATGCAGAGGGGCCAGTGTAGGAGCCTGAAGGTTAAGTGAGTGGAAAAGATGGAAAACAAGCCCCCTTGGCAGGAAAGCGGGGAGAAGAGCAGGGAAACCAAACCACTGGCCTCAACCCAGACTGAATTGGAATGCTGTTACCATGGCAACTGTGAGGTCCTTTCAGCATTCTGCTCTGCATGGGGGTGGGACCAGTCCATAGATAAGGAAACTGAGGCCCAGAGAGGATCCCTTTCCAGAAGGTCAGTCAGAAAGCCAAGTAGAAACTGTCTCCTCCCCTCCACCCCCATCTCTGGAGCACAGCTCCCACCTCATTGCCAGTTCCACATACTCACAGAGAATTGGGACAATACTCAGGCTGGGGCAGACGCCGACCCTGGGCCAGGAAATGAATGAGGTCAAAAGGGTCAATGTGGGGGTATGGTGGGGCACCCCGTGTCAGCAGTTCCCACAACAGCACACCAAATGACCACTGTGGGAGGGAAGAGGAGAGGGCACTCAACTCTCATCCCAAAATGGAGGCAGGTGGGTTCCCTCCTCTACCTCCCAGAATCCTTCAGCTAGAAATATAGGACCCACCCTCTACTTGGAGCTTATTCCTCAAAACCACAAAAGGTGTGTCCCCTTCCGTCTCCCACCACCTCAGACTTCCTAGAGTTGGAGCTGGGCAAGCTCTGAATTGTCAAAGCCAATGAATTTACAGCCTCTTCTTGCCCTGCTGGGTGTCAGATTCTATCTCACATCTGTCCAAGAGGTGAACAAATGAGCTGTGAGGGTTGCCCAACCTGGGAATTCCCTAGGCTTGAATCAGGTAGAGCTGAATGGGAAAAGCCCAAGTGCTCAGGACATGGAGGCCCCAAGGACCTAGGGCACATGAGGCCTCACCACATCAGACTTGGTGGTAAATCGATAGGTCTGAAGGCTTTCCAATGCCATCCACTTGACAGGTAAGCGAGCATGGCGTTGCTGCTGAACACTGTAGTACTCCTTGTCCAGGACATCACGGGCCAGACCAAAGTCAGCCACCTTTACTGTGAATGATTCATCCAGCCTGGGAGGGGGAAATCACACTTAGAACTGACTCCCACCAGGCTCTGAATCCATCTGTTCCAGGGCCTTACAGAATTTCAGAGCCCCACTATCCAGTTCAAATCTGCACTGGGCAGACAAAAAAAAAGGTCCAGACCAGGAAGGACATGCCCAGGGCTTCACAGCAAAGCCTGGAGTGGCCTCTTCCCTGAGGTGGCCTTGTGCAGCTGCACACTCTCATGCCCTGACCCTTTGCTTCACCCCAGCTGCAGCTCACATGCAGTTCCGAGCAGCCAGGTCCCTGTGTACAAACTTCTGCTCTGATAGGTACTCCATGCCTCGGGCTACCTGCAGGCCAAAGCTGATGAGGTCCTTCACAGTGGGGTTCTGGAGGCAAAGAGTATTTGGTGAGCAAGAGCAGAACAGTTCCATTTGTAGATGCTGCCCAAAGCCCTGCCCCCTAGGGCAGCTGAGCACTGACCCGCTGAGGTGACCGGATGAACTGAAGCAGGTCTCCATGGCGCATATAGGGCAACAGCACACGGGGCAGCCCCTCAGGTGGCAGCATGATACCAATGAGAGCCAGAACATTTGGATGGTGCAGGCTGCGCATGAGCAGTCCCTCTCGCAAGAAGGCTTCTACTTCCTGAACCTCTGTGATGCCTGTAGAATGGCTTGGGTCAGGCCCAGAAGTCTCCTGCTCGGGATCACTTAGATGCCAACACAGCAGGAAGAAAGACCCTCCTACTCTGGGGCTCCTCTCCCTGCCCATCCAACCTTTGCCACACTTACGATTCAGCGACTTGATGGCACAGTGGATACAATTCTGAGCCTCATCTGTGTACTCTCCATGGTAGACGACTCCAAAATGGCCTTATGAGAGGGTGACGGTGAGAGGGTTCCCAGTGCCCAAGCTAACAGCACACCCTTTCATTGGCAACCAGAACTCAGAACAACAAACAGGCCAATCTGACATTAAAAATAAGCAGCAGCCACATGATGGCAGAGCCTGAAGCTCTCCCATGCCCACTCCAGAACCCACTGAAAATAGATTTTTCCTAATCCCCATTTTACAGATGAGCAAATGGAGGCTCAGAGAAGTTAAATGGTATACTCAAGGTGACACAGGTTGGTGAGAAAGCAGAGCAGAGCCCATGTCATCTCAGGACTCCTCTGCCCTAGCCCTACCTGACTTTCATACCTTTGCCAATGACTCGATCACTGTGGGTGATTACACGCTCATGGGGGATCAGTACATCCTTGACCTCAGCCAGGAGTGCAGAGTCCAGGTCCCTGAGCTTAATGGACTCTGTCCGCAGCAGCGGGACACAGGACCCATCCCTGTTGTCCAAAAAGGATTCTGCATGGACCCGAGTGGTAGAATCAGGACTATCAATAGCAGAGAGTTCTGTGGGGGAAAGGGAATGAGAGATAGGCTTGTGGGGAAGGGGTGGCCCTAGCTTCTATCTCCTCCTCCATCTCACCAAGGCCATGTCTATAGTCAGAGCCTAAGTGGAGCATAGGCAGGAGCGTGGGTCCATTAGTCCGGTCCAGGGATGCCAGGTCATCGAGGTTGGGAGAAAGAACTGTGGAAAGACAACCTATAGTAGTCAGCTTTTTCCAAGCTCCTGGTAGCTGACCCCAACAGGGAAGTATGGGAGACCCCCAAGATCTGGGCAGGCAGAGGTGGGGACTTGGAGATGCCACTATTTGGGAGTAAGGGCTAAGTCAGGATTGAAATGGGGAGCTCACCCAATTGTTTCCTCCGCCACCAGTAGTTGAAAACTAGCGCAGTGGCCATTGAAGCCATGAGCAACAGCAAGGCGAGCAAGACAATAAGGAGTGTGTTCTGTGGGACCCCTTTTGGGCCTGGCTGCACCACTCTGCCAAGGATTTGACACTCACCATCCACGCAAACCTGGGGGCAGATGATATCTCAGGCCCAGCCTTAGGCACTCAACCCGTGTTTCCTGTGGAAGACCAGCAGAACTGCCTACCTGCAGTGGGGCTCCATCCTTGCCAAGTTGTAGGTAGGTGGGCAGGGGACAGACCACCACGTCTCCCCGGAACTCATGCTGGCAGCTCTCACCACCCACGGTCACGTTCACACCCACGCAGTCAGCCACAGCACCCAACCCAATATACTGCAGAGACAGTCATGAGGACAAACCAGTGGCCCAGCCCCCCACCTCCTAATCTCCCACTATCCCTTCCCCATCCTCCACACCTACCTCAAACTTAATAGTATGCTCTTCAGGCTTCAGTGGGGCTAGTTCAGCACTGGGTAGACTGGGTGGGGGTAGGAAGCGAAAGCCTGGCAGTGTGAAGCCAGCAGCTCCATCCCCCCAGGCACTCAGATTTCCTGTTACCCACCCCTGGTGGCCTCGGACCACATATTCAGGCAGGCGGCATTGATGCTGCTCTGGAAATTGCCCCTCACACTGTTGGGATGCACATGAGGATGATTAGGCAGGTGCCCCACTTATAGCTGCCCCAGTCTCGTCAGCCCAGCCCAGCGCTAGTTTTCAACTACTGGTGGCACAGGACTGGAGCTCAGGGGATTGATTTCAGCCTTTCTCCTTCCTGTCTAGCAGACACTCACCCTGTTCTCCACTGTCCCTTGCCCATCATGGAATGATAGCACTAAGTACCATGCTGAAGTCAGATACTGGCCATGGATAGTGACATGGGAGCCTCTGTGAAAGACAGCAGGATGGTAAGTTTGGGGTACTTTCCAAACCTGGCTCCCTCATTCCTCAGAGGCCAATTTGAGTAAAGAAATAGCACTTACGGGTATCCACAGTTAGGGCTGATGTTCAGCACAATGGGGTCTTCCTGGTAGTGGAAGGTCCAGGAGCCAGGCACCTCAGCACCTCCCACCTGCAGGCGAAGGGGTACTCTGGCCGTGGCAGCCCCAGGGGGTGTGGCACATAAAATCTGCCCCCGGCTGACCCTGTAGGAATGAGGGATTGGGCTCAGGGGCACCCCCCTTATGACAGACAGGCTTACCTACTTCAGGGTCTACTAATCCCTCCTAGTTCTTCTGTTGATTGTCTCCCCCACGTGCCCACACCCTCCATGGATCTGTCTGAAGATGAGTTGGTCCCAATAAGACTTCCAAAAGGGCAGGGAGGAAACAAGTCTATTAACCGGAACTAATAGACTCTGATAGACTCATTAGCGTGCGTGTGTTCTTGCTTTCTCACTCTCGCTCTCTCTCTCTCTTTGGTAGTGTTGGGGATCAAACTCAGGGACTGTATGCCTGTGTGCCCAAGGGGTCCAGCTCACACTCAAGTTCCTCTACAAAGGAACAAATGTTCTACAATTGAGCTACATCCCTAATCCCCATGATAGGCTCTTTTGCCTCTGGGATGGAGGGGGCAGCAAATCCTTATTCCTGAAACTGTCCTCCAAACTGACTATGTGACTCAGCTCTCTTCTCTCCACCCAGACAAGATTTAGGACCCCACCTGCTGGCTCCCCTGGATGAGTCCCTGTGACCTCCCATCACCTTGCCTGATAACTCTTACCGTTTCAGATGGCACTGGGTTCCATTGACCAACACAGCCCGGCTGGTGCCTACAGACAGGCCCTGGCCTTCAAGAGTGAGACAGGTACCCCCTGCCCGTGGGCCAAACAGGGGTTGTACTCTTTTCAGCACTGGCTCCTAAGTGGGCATAGAGGTGGCTTAGCTGGAACAGGACTCCCACTCCAAGCCCTTCCCTTCTGGTACCACCCACTGGACAAAGGCACAGATAGGGCAAAATGTCCTTACCACAAAAGAGAAGCCTTCCAGCATGGAGATGCCTTCTACCCGGAAGTGCTTTCCCGGTGGCATATTAGTCACGATAAGGCTGATGTTGGTAGTTCCTGCTGCCTGTGTGCCCAAGGGGTCCAGCTCACACTCAAGTTCCTCTACAAAGTCCTTCCGGGGCACTGGACTAGGATGCCAGGGGACCCTTGAGGTCAGCCAGGAATCACACAGACCTGCCTGTATACCCACTACCAGTAACAGGGTTCCTCTGAGCCCGAGGATGGTGGTTCTCCACCCATGCCTTTCTCTAGGGCAGGTAAGATTGCATGGGGCAGGGACTAACTTTGCCTAGTCCATGACTAAATCAATGGGTAGGCACATGCAAGTTCAAAACAGGATAGAGATTTCTCCCTAGACACAAAGCAACCAGACCCATTGCAGCTTACCCCATACCCCCTTGTTCCTGATAAGCAAAAGACAGGGTCTCACAGGAAAAGGGTTACTTTGTTGCTCCCATCAGGGATAGAGAAGGTAGGGCTGGCTTGTACCTGAGGTTTGAGGTGTCCTTAGGCAGCAGGTGGCAGGGACTTTGGCCCACAGTGACCTGATGTGTTCCCTCAGGTATAAGACCAGTAGGATGCAGGTAGAAGTTAGAGCCACACAGGGTCAGCTTTGTGCTGCCCCTTAGGGGTCCACTGTCAGGGTAAAACTGAAGTGGGAGGAACAGAGAGACTGAATTCTTGTGCAGGTTTGATTTCTCTCAGCCTCATCTTCTTCTGCTAGAGTTCCCTGCCATATCCCTTGTTTGCCCCATACTTCAGTCATTCTGGGTCACTTGCTAATCCTCATTCAAAGTTTTTTTTTTTTTTTTCCTTCAGTATCAGGGATTGAATCCAGAGCGCTTAACCACTGAACCATACCCTCAACCCTTTTTATTTTGAGACAGGATCTCGCTAAATTGCTTAGGGCCGTGCTTTGTTGCTGAGTCTGGCTTTGAACTTACAATCCTCCCGCCTCAGCCTTCTGAGCCACTGGGATTATAGATGTGTGCCACTGCACCCAGCTCATTCAAGCATTTTTCTTGCCTACCAAGTCTTTACATGTTCATCCCTTTGCCAAGAATGCCCTCCTTGGAGATCTGCAGACATTTTGGGCCTGAGCAAGATCATGGTCAAAACTTGCTGACCCCACTTCAGGCCCTGCTTATCCTTAGGAATGTTGTACCTTGGTAAGCACAGGTGGACAGTGATCTTGTTGCCAGGAGCCAGGACACTCCTTCTGCCTGCCGCACATGTTCCCACACCAGCCACAGCCCATGAAATGCTGTGCTTGTAGGCAACGCCTACAAGTGAGGAAATGGTGGCAGCCAGGCCCCCGGATAGGTACCTGGAAGACCTTGAGGTGACAAATAGGCAGTTTAGGGATGACTGGAGAAAGGAACTGGGCCCCATAGACCCTCCTATTCCCATTGTAGACTGGGGTGGTGAGACCTGTATGTCAATGCCTCCCGGGAATGAATAGAAAGGCTGTGATTCTAGACTCTGACCATGCCCACCTCACCTGGTCCCCAGAGGCAAAAAGTAGGTGGTCTCCAAGACGTTTGACATCTCGATGGATGGACTGTCCATTGTTACTCAATGAGAAGTTGGATACATACAGCAAGTAGTTGAGTGATCGGACTAGCTCCACCTGGGACAAGTCAACTGTGAGAAAAATAAGCATGGAGACGGGAACAAAGGGCCAAGGGGTTGTGGGGTGAGGGACTTACCTGTAGGATACGCCCATCAGATGTGCCCATGTGGGCCACTGTGACATTGTCAAGGCGTGTCACATAAAGTGCAGTAACCTGCACTGATCCTAACAGCCCATTGAATAGATCCACACGTGGGAACCTGCGGCTGACCAGCAGAGGGAAGTGGTGGCAGCTGATGTTGGGGCTAGAAGCTTCCAGGACAGGCTGAGGAGTGTCAGGGAAGAGAGAGTTAGAATTTAGCCCTGCGCACTGACCTTTTGGGACCTCAGTCAGTGATCACAGCAGCCCCAAGCTCCCACCCCTCACCTTCCCTGATGAGAGACACCCTGGGCTTGCCGGTCATCTGCCCTTACTTCCCCCACAGGGCTCTTGGAGGTAGCAAGGGCAGGGAAAGAAGGAAGCCCAGGCAGGAAGGACAGCTCTCCCCGACTTTGTCATGTCCATTCTGGCACTTATTGAGTCTTAGAGAATCAATCCCACTACATCCTCACAATCACCTGTAAAATAGAATCAAACTCAGAGAGGGTTGGCCACTTGTCCAAGGCTTCAAAACACCACAGGAGAGGAACCATGGTGGAAGCCTGTGCTCTTACCCAGAGTTCTCTCCACCCCCTGCTGGCTCTGCTGTGCCTCTGCAAGTGCACTTCAGGAAACCCTGTCTGAGCTTAAGTTTCTCCACTCACATGAGGGGTTTTGAACTCTGAGGTTAATTAGCCAGCACAAGGTTGGTAATATGGTCCTTCTCCTGGAGACTCTAAAGGTCCTCCTGTACCTCTCACTTCCTCTGTACAGAGGGAATAAACCAAGGCCCTGTGGCTTGGGTGCCAAGCTAGGCCCCAGAAGCTGGGAGACATTAACCTCTCTCATGCTCTTAGCAAGAAGGTGATTTGAAGGCTGCATTTTCCAGGGCAGGACCTTGAAAGCTTCTGGGAAAGTAGGAAGTATTGGGGCTGGGTTTGAGGTATAGGCAAAGCCCAGTGGCTAGCCCCAGGTGCTTATGATTCTCCCTGGCCAGCCCTGAGGACACTCTTTAAAGCAGAAGCCTTGGAAGTCTCCATCAGACCACCTTTCTGATACCTCACTGTTAAACAAGAGTCCTGGGAATAAGAGTAGGTGCAGAACTGGGCCTAGAAAGCCCATATACCCTAGTCTGTAGCCTGTGTATGTAGGGACTGAGACTTTGTCTTTCCTTGAGAAGGAAAGGGGCCTGGCCCTAGCCAGAAGCCTGCCAGGTGTTTCCAGAATGACTCAGAGACAGGTGGGGCTCTGGAGTTGAAAAGAAGCCTCAGCTCAGCCAGGGCCACACCCCTGTTTACTTGTCTGTAGATCCAAGAACTTACCTTTGGGTCATAGGCTTGACTAGGGGCCCCCAGCTCCTGAAAACACTTGCCCTAAGTGTCCAGTCCCCCATGGAGAACCCACACTCTACCTAAAACCATGGAGGGTAGGCACAAGCCCTGAGGTACAAAGTGGGTCCTGCCCCAGAGGCTGCAAGCCTAGTATCATTGAACAAATACTGGCTACACACCTCCTGGGAGCCTGGGAAGTCTGTGGGTAGGGCCCAATATTAGTCCTACTAGTGCCTGGCACTGCCTAGTTACTAGATGCTGGGTATATTCTAACCCACTGACCCTAGCTACATTGGGGAGAGGTTTTCACTTCCCGGAAGAAAGAAGATGGGGCCAGGCAGGGCTTTCCAGCCCAGACAAGAAGTATCACCCATAGGGACTCTCCATCCAGATGTACTCAGCTGAGGGAGAGAGACTAACGATTTCCTCTCCTCACACTGGATTAAAGTTCTCTCTCTTTCAGGACATTAATAGGAGCTGGAAAGGCAGTCAATTGAAAGTGTCACAACAGGGCCAGGGGCCCAGGATGACCAGAGATTCAGAGCAGCTGCTTGGTGGAAGACCACTCATTCAATGTTCCATCCAACCCATATGGGCTTGCCCCTTCCTTCCTTCCTTCCTTCCTTCCGTACTGGGAAGACCACTCATTCAATGTTCCATCCAACCCATATGGGCTTGCCCCTTCCTTCCTTCCTTCCTTCCTTCCTTCCTTCCTTCCTTCCTTCCTTCCTTCCTTCCGTACTGGGAACCCAGGGTGCTTAAGCACTGAGCCACATCCCCAGCCCTTTCTATCTATTTAATTGTTTATTTTTATTTTTAATACCAAAGATTGAGCCCAGAGGTGCTTAACCACTGAGCCACATCCAAAGCCCTTTTAAATATTTTATTTAGAGACAGGATCTTGCTGAATTGCTTGGGGCATCACCAAATTGCTGAGGCTGGCTTTGAACTCACAATCCTCCTTGCTTCAGCCTCCTGAGCCTCTGGGATAATAGGTGTGTGCCACCACACCTGATCCTTTTTATTTATTTATTTTTAATTTTGAAATAGGTTCTCACTAAGTTGCTGAAGCTGGCTTTGAATCTGTGATCCTCCTGCCTCAGCTTCCCAAGCTGCTGGAATTTCAGGTGTGGGCCACTTTGCCCAGCTGGGTAGGGCTATTTCAGTGGCTTCAATGAGTTAGTTTTGGTTTTGTTCTTGGGGTTTTTTTTTTTCAGGGGACTCCCAATCTAGGGGGGTGGCTCTAGAGATTGAACCCAGGGCCTCATGCATGCTAGGCAAGTACTTCATCACTGAGCTACTCGAAGTGGCATTTTAAGGATTGTCTTTTTTTTTTTTTTGTTCTCACTCCCTGACTCTGTGGCTGGACAGAACCTGGGTAAGGTCTGTTGGAAGGATCCCCCATTTCAGCATGGGATGTGAAACCTCCTGTCTGGGGCAGTTATGGTAGCAGGAAATATGGGGTTAAACAATTCCAAGCCCCTCCTAGGCCTTTACTCATCCCCAGATGTTTATAGTTGATTGCACAATATTGGTTTGAGGCTCCCAGAACCTTATAGAGCAAAGTTGCCTTCTCACTGTGTCCAGGGTCCTCCTCTAATCACCCTACAGAGAATGGGTTAATGAAACACAGGCCATACAGGTTCCCCAACAAACCCCCTGACTTCCAAAGCCTAGGAGGTTTCCTGAACATGGTGGGGTCAGGGGTTCTTTAGAAACTCTTGTCCCACGCCCTTAGGAAAGTAGAGCAAAACAAGTGCTCCCATAAGGAAAGTAAAACTGTGTTTGGTAAGCAACCCGAGTCTGTGAAAATCTGTAAGCATCTGCCTGTATGAGAATTTGTGCCTTTATGCAAACTTTTCTCTGTGTGTGTCTGAGGCAGATTGGGCAGATTGGGGGGGATGTTCATCATTTTACCCAGAATTTGGGAACAGTGCTGGCAGAGAGACAATTATACAACCCCATTCTCATATAACCAAAGAAACTACCTAAAAAAAAAAAAAAAAAAACCAGAAGCCATGATGGCTGAGATGGTGAAAACACAAAATGAGGACGTATCAGAAGCTAGCATAGGCTGGGTACAGTGGCGCAGGCCTGTAATCCCAGCAGCTTGGAAGGCTGAGGCAGGAGGATTTCAAGTTCAAAGCCAGCCTCAGTAAAAGAGACGTGCCAAGCAACTCAGTGAGACCTTGTCTTTAAATAAAATACAAAATAGGGCTGGGGATGTGGCTCAGTGGTTGAGTGCCCCTGAGTTCAATCTTCAGTACCACCACCACCCCCAAAAAAGAAATCCAGCATAGTTGGAAGATGAGCCTCCAGGGGAGGGTTTGTTTGGCTGATTTTTCACACCACCCCAAGCCTGCATGAACTGGGTAGAAGAGAATGCTTCTCTCTGCCTACTCTCCCCCTCCCAGGTCCTCTCAGTGATGGAAGGGAGCAGCCTGTGTTCAGCCACCAACAGGCTGTTCACAGGTAAAGTCCCCTTCTTTCTGCTTACCGGGTTAGGGCAAAAACTGGGCGACTGGAAGAAGTCAAGGCCCCGTGGGAGGCCAAAATGAACTGGGGACTCACAACAGTGTTCCACACCCTCATCAATTAGGGTGTCCAGCAGGTTGATGGGAAAGGCACAGACAACAGAGTTGGGACCCATGCCAGGACTGCCATTCCTGCCAGTGGTGAAGACCCCAAATAGCACTTCATTGCCCTCGGTGATACTCAGCTCAGCAGCGAGTTGGGTGCCCACCGAAGCAGAGTGGGCTGCCTGAAGGATCGGGTAGGACTGCTCCCCGTCTGGGACTCCACGGCGCCGGCGTTTAGGTGCAAAATGACAGTCAAGGACCAGTTCTCGGTAGTCACTCAAATCTGCCTCCAAGGCATTGAGCCGTGCCAGGCGGGTTTGCAGGGCACCAGGAGAGTCTATCACACTGGAAGGCTGAACAGTCAGCAGGTAAACAAAGGCTCCTGCATGGAAGCTATGAACATATTCTATATGGTAGGAGTCCAAATACTTTGGCAGCACTGACAATGAGGAAAAGCCTGGTTCGAATCCTGAGGCATCTGCCTTGAGGCGCCGGATGGACACTGAGCCAGGGCTAAAGCTGGTAGCCACCTTTGCATCCAGTGAGGATGCCACATAGAAGTAGGAGGCCTGGCCCTGCTCAACCACTGTCACATGGGTGCCCAGTGGGCTGGCCACACAGTCTGGACAATCCTCAGGCCGGTTGTGATGGGCTGAGAAAAGGCAGATAGGCGCCGCCAGGTGCAGGGTTGTCCCGCTGATCTCCAGCTCATGCAGAAAGCAGCGGCCCTGCAGGCTTGAGCCACAGCTGACCAGTGCCGGCAACACCGGCTCCAGTACCAGCACCAGTGTGTCTGTGTCATCTGGTGGACCATGGGGGCCGGGGCCACAGGCCGCACATGTCTGACAGCCAGGATCCCCGGTAGGGCCGGTGGCCAGACTCTCAATAGACTGCAGGTTAGGCCCAAGCACATGCAGGTGATTGCGTGTGGCCACAAACACCGCACTCCCATCCCCGCCGCCCTCATAGGTCGCCAAGGCCTGTACCTGGCTGCCAGCAAAGAAGCTGGGCACTACATACTTCACATCAAAGTCGCGGGAAGCAGCGTAGGGTGTGCGAGGGCACTGCCAGTCCCTGTAGGACATCGACACCGCAGTCAGCAGCAATAGCAGCAGCAGCAGGGAGAACAGTGGCAGTAGCTGAGGAAGCTCCATCGAGGCGAGCTGGAGCCCCTTGGGGATACCTGGTTTCAGGCCTTGGCTGGGAGCAGAGGTCTGAGCTGAGATCAGCGTTGAGGAACGGTCAGAAAGCTCTTGGACGGCCAACCTCCACCCTGGGTTTCTGTGAAGCCCAACCCCTTCCACTCGGAGCACCTGATGCCAGTGTACACACGGCAAGGAAAGGAACAGCCGTCTCACCTGCCGCGGGGTCTGTGGCTTGGAATTACCGCGGGGAGCAAAGTCGACCGAGGGCGCAGAACGGGTGTGGCTGGGCTGTAGGCGGGGCTACGGGCGGAGCCTTGTTGAAGGCCAGGCTCTCCGCCCATCTGACTCTTCTCAACGCTGGGCCCTACACTTTCTCTTGTGTGTCTATTTCTCAGGGGCCTGTGGGTGGGTGTGCGTGGAGTGGCCTGAAGAGAAAAGAGCAGGCCTGAGCCATTCCATTCCATCCCTCCAACAACCGACCATGTCTAAGTAAAAAGGGGATAGGATAACCTGGTTCTTTTGTTCTGGTGGAGCTATGTTACAGCAACACCCTCAGACACTGGTTCCCATAGCCCATCTGGGGGACCTACCGTGTGGGGAAGAGACAGGGATCTTGTGGAGTGCCTCACTTCAAGGGCAGGGACAATCTTTTTAGTTGCCTGCCCTGAGCCTTGTCAGAGGAAAGTAGGTTGTGCCCTGATCACCCAGGGCCATATGAATTAAGATATGAGACTCATTCTCTGGACAAGAGTCAGAGGAGACTATGTGAAGGTTTAACCCTACCTCTGGTCCCTCCACTGCAGCCTCAGTATGTGGAAGCTGTAGGGGGTACAAACCATAAAACTGACCTCTGGAAAGACTCCCCCCAAAGGTTCTGCTCTAATGCCCCATGATATGGGGGGGAGGATGGGCTTTGGTTCCCAGGGCTTCTCTAATCTGCTCTGTAAGCCTTTTAGTCTCTGAGATAAGAATAAAGTCTTGGTTAGATGGTTAGCTAGAGTTCTCTATCCAGTCTGTAAATTGGTGGGTAGATCCTAGTTCTGCTTTGCCATCTCCTTCATCTGGACCTCAGCACTGTCTTTTGGCTAGTTGCCTCCCTCAACACTGGAGGTGGGGATCTATAACCAGATAGCCCCTTCAGCCCAATAGGCCTGGACCCTAGAGGGAATGGGTCGAGGCCTAACATCACTGTCACAGAGTGTTTCTGGGATATTATCAGTGGTTCTCAGTACTGGAGTGGGTAAGGAGGCTGGGGAAGGAAGGAGCCAAAGAATTTAGCCTGGACTGGAGAGCTCTACCTCCTCCACTCCCTACCCAGTGCATACCTCACTGCCTGTACCTCCTTCCTAACCTGACCTTTGCAATGCTATTCCTCTTTTCGGGAGCACCCTTTTTTTGTTCTCCTCTAAAAGCTGAGATAACACCTCCCCCAAGGAGCCATCAAGACCCAGGTCCCTCTCCTGGATCCCACACACTGTGCTACACACATTCCAGCACAGTTTACTCTTGAGTATTCCTTGCTTTCTCCATTTCCTGGGCAGGATTTCCCCTCCTTCCATGCTGGATCTTCTTGAGCAGCTGGTGACTGAGAGAGGAAACGGAACATAGAGCAGTCACACCCAGTGCATAGAAGATACCATGCCCAAGGCAACATAAAAGGCACTCCCTTCCTGATCAAAATTGGCCCGGAAATGAATAAACACCCAGTGAAAATCACCCTTCCAGCATTCCATGGTCAACACAGGACAGAACTGAAACGAAATACTCTCCACCTGAAGTCCATCCCATCTCCAGATGTTGGGAGAGATTTCTACCGATTGGGAGAAGACTTCACAAGCCCTCCTAAATCATCTGCCCACAGGTTTTTAGGGGGTAAAAATGAAGTGCCATCAATTGGTTCTCTGCTGCCACCATGTGGCCACATGGTGGATGACCTTCTAAGGCAGACAATCTTAATAGTGGGGTTCACAGAAGCACCCTTTACTTCCTTCTTCCTTGGTTAGCTCTGCAGAAGGGGGCAGGCAAGGCTTGTGGGGAAAGTCTGCTAATAGTACAAGCGCTCCCCCAAGACTCACCATGCCTGGCCCATAACTGGTTTAGTAACTGCCCAATTACCCTGACATCTTGTCACCATGAACAAAGTGGCTAGCACTTTGTCCTCTTTGGGCTTTCGGTCTCCTGTGAACACTGTTCCAGAAAACTGGGTCCAGTTTCTTTTTCTAATCCAGAGATCACTTTAGTGGCAGCAGAGGTTTCTCTCCAACTCAGTATGACCCCATCGTACTGCAGCTTCAACTCTCTACTGCCAGACTTTTATCTGGAGGTTGAGAACCCCAGGTCTTATAAACTCTTCCAGCATCATGAAAAATGTTTTGTTTTGTCTTTTTAAACCAGGTACTTGCCTTTGCACATGATGGTTTCCTCTTTATTTGCCTGTAATTCTACCCTGATCCCCAAATAAGTAAACTGCATGATTATAGGTACCTATTATCCAGGTACACAGTTAGATAACTGTGACCCCTCCATCTCTGACATAGAGGCTGACTGTTGATAAGAACACTAGTAATGGAGGCTAGGGTTGTGGCTCAGTGGCAGAACGCTTGCCTCACATGCGTGAGGCACTGGGTTCGATCCTCAGCACCACATAAAAAGAGTAAGTAAATATAATAAAAATATTTAAAAAAAAAAAAAAAGAACACTAGTAACAATCAGGGACATCTGGACTGGCATCACTGTGTTCCCTGAGGCAGTGGGTTGGTGTAATAATCAGGAGCAAGGGGAAGAACAGAAGCTCAAAAGAGGCAGAAAAGAGATCTGGGCATATGTGTAGGATATGCAGCACTTATCAAACCTGGGGCTACTCCCCATGGACTTTGGAATCTGGGTAGGTGGCCTGCAGCCATGCTGATTTCAATCTGATCTAGTTTGGGGGCTGGGGATGTGGCTCAAATGGTAGCATGCTCGCCTGGCATGCGTGCGGCCTGGGTTCGATCCTCAGCACCACA